AAGACTATTCAGTGATTGTTTACATTGGTATGTTGACACACACCTGTCTTACTCAACTCTGGTCAGGCAAGTACGGTCTTTAAAAGATGTCACCAAATACAAGCCCATGCCGAAAAATCATGGGCGACAGGACGTGAAAAAATCAGTTCATACACGAATCTACGAGATTCTTTTTATCTTGCATTTGATAGAGAAAAATTAAATTTATGACTAAACCCGTGACTGTTCAGGTTATAAAATATTGAAGTTGATTTCAACATTAAAATATCGTCTGTTTAAAGAAAGTTGAAATAAAAAAAAATACTTACTCAATAAACAACTCGTATTTTTAAATCTTATTCACTTAAAATATATTTTAAATCCCATTAATACAAAAATATATTTTTAATATACCAAAAAATATTTCGAAATCATATTTACTTGAAAATATTATTTTAAATATGGCAAAAAATATTTTTAAAATATTTTAAATATTGTTTGTTTAAAGAAAGCTGAAATATAAATAAGCACACACGAAATCTTAGAGGTGGAAAGAGAGAAGTAAAAAGAGAGAGAGGGGTGCAAAAAGTGGGAGGTGGAAAGAGAAAAGTAAAAAGAGAGAGAGGAGTGGAAAGAGAGGAGAGGGATGTGGAAAGAAAAAAGTAGAGAGAGAGAGGAGTGGAAAGTGAGAGAGAGGTGGAAAGAGAGAAGTAAAAAGAGAGAGGGGTGGAAAGAGAGGGAGGTGGAAAGAGAGAAGTAAAATGAGAGAGGGGTGGAATGAGAGAAGTGAAAAGAGAGAGGGTGGAAAGAGAGAGAGAGAGGGAGGTGGAAAGAGAGAGGTAGGTGGAAAGAGAGAGAGGGTGAGGTGGAAAGGGAGATAGAGGGGGAGATGGAAAGAGAGAGGGAGGAGGTGGAAAGAGAGAGAGAGGGGGAGGTGGAAAGAGAGAGAGGGGAGGTGGAAAGAGAGGGGGTGGGTGGAAGAGAGAGAGAGAGAGGGGGTAGGTGGAAAGAGAGAGGGGTAGGTGGAAAGAGAGAGGGAGAGAGAGAGAGGGGGGGGGCAGGTGGAAAGAGAGAGAGAGGTGAAAAGCGGATATAAATTTATATTTATGTCCACAATCCGGATGTTAAATTAGGTCACCATCTTAGACATACACACACCATTTCATTCTCTACCCTCTTCCTACACGATAATAAATTTATATCTTTCTTTCACCCACTCTCTATACACGACTTCTGGTAAACACACAAGCAACGTTCACAGAGTTTTATAATAAAGATTTGGGAGAGAATATTTTATCTTTAACGCTCTTTTTTTAAGCAGTGCATATCTATTATTGTCTATCTTACTACTCACAGACTCAACAATGATTTTATTGGGAAAGAACACAGTCCTTGTATACAACTGAATATATCGAACAGCCGACGTCGAATTTTCCCAAGTTTAGATGTTCACGCAGACTGTATTTAGCCACTTACTCATAAGTTACTTTTCTTTATAACTGAATCAATTACATGTAAAAATATAAGAATAGAAGAAATTGTTAGCATAGAACTGCTAGCAATTTCCATTGTAAAAAGATGAGACCTAACTGCCAATCAAGCACTACGCATAAATTCGTAATGTGGAGGTACAAAAGAGGAAAGTTCATCAGAAAAATTACCATCAAAATATTTGTAGAAAAAGCACAGGAAATTATGTTACGATGGTGGGAGGTGACTGAAGCCGAGAAGCCAGGTTAGGACAAATAACATTGCAGATTCTTCTTAGATTTTCTCAAGAATCTCTTAATACATAGTAGAAGCACCGGACCACATGTGATCGTAATATCTAATGCATAGTTGAATGGTATATATATATATATATATATATATATATATATATATATATATATATATATATATATATATATATATATATATATCACCCACCCACCACCGCCACTTTAAATTTAAATAAGGAATAACTCCTATCCAAAATATAGAAGGAGAAAGCCAGAAGATGGAGGTCACATTGGCAAGATCATTGAGTAATACTGAAATGCATAATTATTTTTCTCCACAAATTATAACAATGATTTAAAATCAATCATTCATTCTCTTGTGTGTGAGATGCAGCAAGGCATGGGTAATTTGGCTAGTGTATATATATATGAGATAACAATATATATTTTTATGATCAAAGGGGGTCCCAGGGAGCACAAACTTCCTACTGAAAATGTTTCCCCTTTGATTTAAATTAAATTTAAATTTGAAAAAGGGAATGACTCCTATCCAAAATGTAGAAGGGGAAAGCTAGAAGATGGAGGTCACATTGGCAAGATCAAAATGAGACAATATAAACGTCAACTTGAGCAAGAAATCACCAATCAGTAGGTAGTGCCTTACAATGCATATTTGTGGCGACAATTCGACAGTCATATCAAAGTTGAAATCTGCTCATCAATTCAATCAATGAAGTATTGCGTCAAATATATATCAAAGTGGTCAGATCACGCTGTTTTTGCACAAATCTTCCACTGAATTTTTTTTCCTTTTGATTTAAATTAAATTTAAATTTGAATACGGGAATGACTCCTATCCAAAATATGAAAGTAGAAAACCAGAAGATGGAGGTCTCATTAGTAAGATCATTGAGTAATATTGAAATGCATAATTTTTCTCCACAAATTACAACAATGATTTAAAATCAATCATCAAATGAGCGATGGAGAGAACTTTTCAGCATTCGCTCTTAGAAGAGGGAATACAAAAGAAAGGCCATTTAATATTTACTTTGCATATACGAAGCCTGGATTTCATTCCCGGAAGAGCAGCGTTTCTGTTTTCAATCCCATAAAGGTACTGATTTTTACAACGTCTAGGAAATTTTCATTAGAAACAAAGAAAATAGTATTGAACTGTTATGTAATATCAGTCCTCCTGTATGGCAGTGAATGCTCGATAATCTCCGCACAGAATAAGAAGAAGAAGAAGAAGAAGAAGAAGAAGAAGAAGAAAGTGATGCTGAAACGAAAGAGTTGTCGAGAGAAGGCGTCGCTCGCCCTCCGTTAAAAGAATTCGCGTGGCAACATGCACTGTTTGAAGCTGTAGACATGATTTCGGTGCGATTCGAAACTGATTTCGGTGCGATTCGAACCTGAGCCTCGCATTAACCAGAATGATTGCACAATAGACAAGCCAGGATATTGTGAGAGTGACGCGATTTGCATATCCATATGCGAAATTAATCCAAACACCCGGATCGAGTAATTTACGATATATATATAAAAAAAAACGAACGAGATCGACGCTGGGCAGCGTAGAGTAAAGCGTTCTTAAAAGCGTTTCTAAGGAAATATAGTTCTACAGGATGATGCTGAAAATGGAAGCAAAAAGGACGCTTCTACTTAATATCAGAAAGAGACAGAGAGTTGGAATTTCTATGGCACATAATGAGAAAAGACGGACTGGAAAATTTGAAATTCATGGGTCATATTGAAATGAAGAGGAATAGAAGAAAACAACACATAACCTAATTAATTTGTGTAAATTGCCATCAGAACAGGGATTAGGAGATACAACAAAATGTCTAAAGATTACAAAGGATAGGAAGATGTGGAGTGCCATGATCGCACACGTAGTTGCCCGAATTTCTCAGATTAAGCATTGTCATTATTAATTTTTGATTGGTATATATTTAATCTTATTTCTGCTGAGTTTTATTACAAACTAGCAGTAGAGCCCGGCGTTGCCCGGGGATGTAACAGTAAGAGATAGATCAAGTATCGACCATCACAAAGACTGAAAAATAAAATTGACAAAGATTATTGTTTAAGGTTGACGGACACGCATGTCTTAATTATTTTTTTTTTTTTTTTTTTACGAATTGGTCAAACCCAAACTGAAACAAAAACATTGTTTTTTTCAATCGTTATGAGTCTACCGATTGAATAGAATTTTATTATAAACAATTGTCTTGTAAATGGAATTTTTAAAGCATTCGGAATGTAAAAATAAAGAAAAAAGTGTGCAAGACAATAAGAAACACTACCAAAAAAAAAAAAAAAGTGAAGTTTTGTTGAAATCGGTTGAAAAATGTAGGAAATCCGATCCCATATATAAACGAACGCACACACATACAAACAACCTGGGTTTTATAATAAGTATAACTCGATATGAGTTGTCCCCCTTTCATTCTTGTGATGCCTCTTAATTGTGTTTTCAAATTGATTTCGTGCAAAAACAATTGTGTTTTTCCAATTTTTGGCGCTGTTAGAACCACCGCAAGGTAATTTTACGTAGTCCTGTGAAATTTTGTTGAAATCGATTGAAAAATGTAGGAAATCCGATCCAATATATAAACGTACACACACACACACACACACACACACACACGCAATCTGCGTATTATAATAAGTAAGATCACTGATCGTTTCGCTGCGAATGAAGCCAATGAATTCAGTTTTAGAAGCATCAACATCATTGGCAGCGTTTTTCTAGATGATGTAGAAGGAGTGTCGTATAGGTAATGGCGTCTGAAGTGATAGCTAGGTCACCTGCATATTCAATACCTTTCGACTTTTTTGCAGGATATCGACTTGGGAGTCCTGAACCAGCAAGGCTTAATACAAACAGGTGAACAATTAAAATCTGTCGAATCTTTTACATACGTAGGAAGCGAGATAAATTCTAATGAAAGAATGTGAAAATTCGCATAGCTAAAGATTTGGCTGCCTTGAATAAAATGGGTGTAATCTGGAAATCTGATCTACGAGACAACCTCAAGAGGAGATTCTTTCGCGCCACTATAGAGGCGGTGTTAATGTATGGTTACCACTGCTTGGACATTAACTAGAGGTTAAGTTTGATGAAAACTACAGTCAGATGCTGAGAGCTATATGTAACATCTAGATACAATCCTACAAAATCACAACTCTATGGATCCAATCATGATATTTCTACAATCTTAAGCAGAATGCCCTTTGCAGGTCACTGATGGTGAGTAAAACGAGAACAAGTGATCTACTGCCCTGGAGACCTGCTTATGGTCAAATCACGATGAAAACACCGGTTCTCGTTCGATCACCGAAGCCTCGTAGAGCCAGGTCAGTACTTAGATGGGGGGATGGCGCTTGTGAACACCTGGTACTGTCAGCAGATCCCTACTGCCGGGGCAAAACTGCCAATTTTTGGGCACTTCCAAGCGGTGTAATGGTTAGCAAGCTTGTCTCGCTAGAAGAATTACGACTGAGTAGTGAGTTCGGTCCTCATTTGGTGCCCCTTACTTTCGACCTTGCGCCACATCTAAGCTACTCTTGGAAAACCGCGAGAGGGCACCTCGCGGTGGTGTAATGGTTAGCAAGCTTGTCTAGCTAGAACAATTATGACTGAGTAGTGAGTTCGACCCTCACTGGGTGTACCGTACTTTCAGCCTTGTGCCACAGCTAAGCTACGCTTGGAAAATAACTACTGCCCTGGAGACCTAGCCTTGCAGCAAGATGAAATGGTCGCCCAGCAAACATTTACACTGACCAGCTATGTTATGACACAGAATGCCTTCGACCTTGATGCAGGACTGTGATGGCTGGCGTGGTAGAATCATGAATGTCCGACCTAAGTCGACCGAATAAAGTAAAAATAATATGCTGGGATTTTTAGTAAGCAACTTCAATCTGAAAATCTGCAGCAAATTTCCGTGTACATAGTTTACTAAAATTCATGCATTTTGCGCCGTCGCCTTCTGGCTTTTGCGTAAAGAGGTAGGATCTACATGGCAGCAATGGTTTAAATTCAGAGTTTTCTTCTCCGAGATTGGTTGCCACCCAAGCCATAGTTTACTGCTATTTTACCCATAGCTGGGGGGATGAAGAGATGAATGGATTTATACCTTTCCGAAGGGTATTAGCACGTAGGTGAATGCAATAGATTCCTCAGTTCGAGCCGCTAAACATTACTCCAGCGTGCCTGATAGTTTAATAATAATCTTCATTCTATAGGTGTTTCTTGAATTCCGTTAATACCTGCTGTATTGTGGGATCATTGGCGGCTAAACCTGCTCCCCCACCATCAGGCTTTTCTTGAGGGGAAATTAGCTAAACACAGCAGGATTAAAAACAAGGCCAGTTAAAAGGCGGGCAAATCTTGTAGGGGTCAACGGCCATTTAGCACAATGAGGTAAAATGGGCTCTATAGCATTGGATGCATCCAGCGCAATGTTGACACGGCATTGCTTCCTCCTCTGGCAAACAAGAAGTAATCACGTCTTTTTTTTTTTTTTTTAAGTATTCGTTATTCCGTCATATTGGTATATGACAGGGGCACCTCGACGTGATGTAATTGTTAACAAGCTTGTCTGGCTAAAACATTTTGAAAAAAAAGTCGAATTCACCCCATGCAGGACGGTAAAACCCCTAAGACATAAGAGGTTACAGGGTGTGGAAGAATTAGGAACAGAAACATTAATGATAAGCATAAAGAGAAGAGAATAATCAGGTGAACAGTAGATAGCGATTGACATTGCATTTAAATTTTTGCAGATTAAACTTAGCTGGAAAGCTTGGAGCTGGAAGGGAGTTCCACAAGAGAGAAGTGCGAGAGAGGAAACTGTTAGCATAGAATTTACGGCTAAATCTAGCCAGCTTATCTTTTCTTCTCCGAGACTGGTTGCCACCCAAGATCTCAATGCCAGTCTAGCGAAGAGCTCATTCGAACAATTAGCATGAAAGTATTTATTAAAAAGTCAAAGGGAGGCAACTTTACGGCGGTGGGAAAGCGACTGAAGCTGAGCCGCCACATCACAACTGAGTAGTGTGTTCGATCCTCACTGGGTGCTCCATACTTTCGGCCTTGTGCCACATCAAAGTTACGATTAGAAAATCGCGATATTGGCATAGAAATATGTTAGAACAAAAAACGGAGAATGAAGACTGACAAAATAATTTCTACCTTTTATAAAGGGTGTTTCACTAAGACGGATCAAAGTCAGCAGTAAATAAATCAGTGTTATTGGTGAAAATTTATTTATTTCTCAATTGGATCATGTTATTTAAGTCATGGCAATTATGCGTAAAAATAATATCGCCCAATTCTGAAAGAAAAAATAAAATAAATCATTTGACACTTAAACCTAATTTGCATTTAAAATCGGTCCAAGTTATTAGAACCCACTTTATTATGAATATTATGTTAACATTCAGTTATGAAATTTATTATCGTAATATTATGTTATGTTAACAACATAATCTTAATAACATTATGTTATATCACGTTAAGTATGAAATTATTTAGTTAATAATTAGTTATGAATTAAAAGAAATTATTGTACATGTATTCAAGTTTTAAAATCCACCAACATTTTTTACTGCAATTAAATTTGCAAAACACGTCGATAAAAATAATCAATATAAATAAAGGGTGTTTCACTAAGACGGATCAAAGTCAGCAGTAAATAAATCAGTGATATTGGTGAAAATTTATTTCTCTATTGGATCCTGTTATTTAAGTCATGGCAATTATGTGTGAAAAATTATATCATCCAAATGTCCATCAAGGCTTCGGCGGCACATCTTCACTCGATGGTCAAAACTTTTGACGACGTCTCTGCATAGTTGCTCCTCGATCTCACCAATATGCCTTATTATCTCATCCTTCAGTTGTTGAATTGTTGTTGGCTTGTTGGAATAGACTTTACTTTTGAGATGACCCCCAAAGGAAGAAATCTAAAGGCATCAAGTCACACGATCATGCTGTTTCGCTGTTTCGAGAGATGATGCGACCTGGGAACTTCTCATTCAAATTCTGTTTGAACGTTCATTTACGTAATAGACTTCGATAACTTTAATACGTTGTTTGATTGTTAATCTTTCCATGGTTGAAATTGCCAAGGACTTAAGCTGTTAAATCTGAAAGAAAAAGAAAAAAATCTTTAGACGCTTAAACTTAATTCACATTTAAAATCGGTTCAAGTCAAGTCAAGGAACAAACTCGTTTTATTTTATTTATTTCGGTTAAAATAAATCGGCGAATTCATGTTGAACAACCTGATATTCTTTTGTTTGTTTATATTTCGAAAATACAAAAGAAATTGGGTGGAGCGAAATGCTCTTCATAACTATTTGGAAAATGTTAGAAGGCCTTCAGCATTGTTTTGAGGCATGGGCGAAGTTCATGTTGAACAGGAGTTTTCATTCACAAGGGCGAGCAAGCACGCGTACACATACATATTAAATATTGGTCGTGGACTATTTTATGTGTATACACATACATATATACACACACACTCATTTATATATGGATAAAAAGACAAAAAAAACAAACTATTCTTAGCCGTTGCATTTCGTCCTCTGAGGAACTTTATCAGGAGAAATGTAGGATTTATTTTGCTGCACGTGTTTATATAAAAAAGCAAAGATGTCGTTAGTTTATCAAGGCTTTTTAATTTAAGAACGTTCATTAATATCTATCAGGTGGTTGAAGGGTCAGTCAAAGCATGTAGAGGACACAAAGTGTCATAATTCAAATCTGGAAAGGGAAAAGTAAGTGTGATATACTGAAGAAATAATTTTTTTTATAAATGAATATTGTTTAAATTGTTTATTAAAAATATTTCTTGAATATTACATCAAATGAAATGTCAGTCGCTATCTACTATCCTCGTAATTACTCTTTTCTATTCCCGCTCATTATTTACGTTTTGTTCCTACTTCTTCCACACCCAGTAACCCCTTGCGTCTTAGTGACTTTATTGTCTTGAATGGGGTAAAACGGATTAAAAGGTATCATAAAAAGTGAATCTAACTAGAATTAGTTGTCTGTGTCCGCAACACTGGAGATCGATTAAAGAAAATTAATGGCAGGTAAAAAACCCACATTTGACAAAATATTTTTGGTTTATTAGTCAGTCAGTGTCATACGTGAAACACACTTAGGCGATCATTTTTCGATATATGATTGACGAGGCAGATTTTTTCCCGCAGTAGGTTGCCATTTCTTTTTGCGGTAGACCAATTTCCATCCAAGGCTAGAGAACCTGATCTGTCCTGCTAATAGGTAACTAACCCATAGCAGGGGGTGAGGAGGAGAAAATGCTTCATATTTTCCCAGGTGTATTAGCACGTAAGTGAATGTAATGGATTCGACTGGAATTCGAACTCGGCTCTCCGATTCCTCAATCCGAGCCGCTATCCATTACTCCATCATGCCCCCCTCTATTGGTATGAATTTAAAAAAACGGAAGCGTCAGTCGTATCAGATTGGATTATTCAGAACTTCATCTTGACTTTGTAACTGAAAGTCACTATAGCACAATCATAACGCCGGTCAAGTGAGGTTTTTTCAATCTAAAGAAAGGCAAAAGCTCACAGTTATTCCAAGTAAATATTTGACCAGTAGTTAGAGGCACCATCCTTTGAAAAGCAGCCCTCACACTTCCAAAACCATATCAGAGAGGTTGTATTTGCTTATGTATACTGTCAGTCACCCGTCGGTCCGGCTGAAGCCGATTTCTTTTTCAGAGAAATTATAGATGAAAAAATGTCAAGTGTAAAAAAGGAAGACTTTTGAATCTAGACGCAAAAACCATGTAAATTTGAACGATGCCCCTAAGGTTGTTTATTCTATGATTAATTTCCTTAAATTTAGCATAGAGAGTCGGGGAAAAACATAGAATAGGCAGTGCTACAGGTAGTTTTGCTCAACACCGCAGGTTGTTACAAAACCAAAATATCAATATGAAAACTCGAGTCATTCTTAAATAGCTTCGTGCAGCTCCAAACTTGTTCAGAAATATCTAAACTCTCATTCTGTGTACAACTGCTTTATCAGATCAATAATTACAAATGGCTTCGTGCCACTGTTGTATAAAGAACTATACCAAATCCAAATTCAAATCCAGAGCCTTCTCGCTTCTGTTAGAACCCCTCACTGACTACTCATGTCTTCAGAGGTTTAGCCGTACTTACTACGTTTGACCAATTGCGGGTTGGTGAGGATATTTAACCTATAACCGAGCTGGATAATCAATTACTCTGAGGAGTTAATCTGTCCTTTAACGGCATTTTGTATTTGTGCTGCTGGGGTTTTACTTAACCTCCCCACCAGACCAAGTGTGTAAACCCCTCTTTGAAGGGGCATACCCATTCGTATACTTGCCGGTGA